CCCCTCAGTGAGTCCTCTTTGGTTTCAGGCCCGGACATGTCCCTGCTCTCACTGCTGTTACATTTGGTCAGTGTGTTCACTGACCTTTGCTGCAGTCGTGTTTCTGAGCGCTGCTTATTTTGCTTTGAGCGGCATCCACTTGAACAAATTCACATGCACTCGCCTCGAGTGAGATGCAGGTTGGATTTTGAACCACTGCTCCACTGCTTTTTTGTGTTTTTTTCAAGTTATATTTTTGGCCATGGTTAGGACTAAGTCCATGTGTCCACCAGGTGAGCCACGTAGGTGCCACCACTGCCCCACTGTTAAACAAACATCAGAGTATTTCCCTTTACTCTAGTCTCATCAGTCAGCTGCATAGATAAAATGAATCTTTATGAGACTTTGTTCTGCTGTATAGTAACTCTCCAGTTCAAAGTCATTTAATAAAAAAATAAATAAAGAAGAAAAAGAAAGCTGTTCTCTCTCTTTTTTAACAGCTTTATTTTCGCATTTTGGATAATGTCCTTTTGAAAAAAAATACTGCGTGCAGCCCCGGCAGCATCATTTGCAAAAACATTAATAACGGCTTTGTGTTTTCAGAGGCATAACAAGCAATAAACATTTTGATTTTAAAAGCATTTCAGAAACACTTAGATATAACAAGGCACATGAAGTAAATGTTTGTTTTCCAGTTTTCAGGATTGTGTGGAAGGGGAACTGCCGAGGGATGCTCCTTTTAGTTCTCACAATCTGCAAGACACGAAAGCTCATGTAGATTTTTTTGAAATTCATTTGAATGAGATGAACCAAGTATCTATCTATGTAAAGCACCCTGACATTATGAAGGTTAAAATTTAATAAGGATAATATTATGACATAATGCCATAAATACATAATCTCACATTGATTCATTCAAACTATGCGTCACATTTCTTTTCTCGTCTGTATTTGTTGCAGTAAGCGATTTTTCTCGCCCTCTCACAGCTCTGATGTGCTTGGAATGTTTAATCAATATCTAATCAATATCTTATCACGTTGAGTCAGGTGTGCTGGTGGAGGGATTTGACCGATGCATGTGATGACAGCGACACTTCCAAGATGGTGGAGAACCAATGTGGGAATTAATGAATACAAAAAAATAGTATTGATTCTTTATTTTCCTCAAGGGTATGTGTGTGTGTGTGTGTGTGTGTGTGTGTGTGTGTGTGTGTGTGTGTGTGTGTGTGTGTGTGTGTGTGTGTGTGTGTGGACAGGAGACAGGGGTTTATGAAACATTTCTATAAACCCAGAGTTAATGCAAGCGTTGCTGTGTACTGGAAGAAAAGATATGTATCCATATTCCCTCCATCACCGCATTATTGTTTTCTATTAAGTCATGCTCTTCAGGACGCCATCAAATCTAATGGCCACAGAATCTTGTAATGACTTCATATCGAGGCTTCATCCTCGGCAAAAGCTCCACAGCCAGCAGAAGAGCAATTGTGGTATTTCCCAAAATGCGTCTGTCCTCCATAAAGAGCATCCTCCATGGTGGAAATGAACAGGACTTTGATGATTAAACCATAAAGCTGTCTCTGGTGTGCTGCCATAATACTGATAAACATATATTGGAGCTGCAATTCATGTCTTTATTTGTCCAGGAAAAAGTTCTCGCTCCCAGCTGCTCACTCAGTCAGGAGCTTCCCAGTATAACCACAGCGTTCCGCCGTCTGTCACTGCAGCACGAGTCCATTAGCGCTGCTGAAATGGCCGGATGCTTTCCAAAGCTTGCATTCCTTTGATGGCGTTAATGAGGGAGCGTGTTCAAGAGCAGAAAGGAAAATGTTTCACACAGTGTGAAGAAAAAAAAACACTAAAATAACGAGGCTGAAAGCTGAAATACTTCCTCCTGAAAGACTGCAATGGTCTTTACATCTGAATGTACAGATACAGTAGGTGGTAAATTAAAGGAAAAAATAAAAATAAAGTGTCCTTGTGTAATGGTGTTGTGTCACCACAGGCATCCACGGTAGTTTCAGAAGCTCCTTCACATAAATTCTCCACATTTGAACTCCATTAGAGTTGTGAACACCATCCTTCAAAAGGAAATTCCCTCATTTGGTGTTTTGATGATAGCAGGAGTTGAGTGAGTCTCACTTTCAGCCCAGGGGTTAAATAATGCAGACAGGCCCACCTCAGCTGGGAAAGGTTTTCTGAGAGCACAAAGATCCCCTTTCTGGTACAGGAAAAAAAAGCTGTCTAATATATCATTCCTGCGATAAATCCTTGTTATACTTTTTGTTGAAGTTGTTTGAGAGAGGTGTTGATCTACCTATGATCATTTTGGAGGTTGTAGGCGGAATCAGGTTTGTCACGTCCATGATATACAGTACACTATGCATACCTGGGAGCGAGATGTCGCTCTCCACCGGTCAGGGAAACGTTAAAAAAAACAGAGACGCATATTAAAAACAGAGACACATTAACGTGTTTATCATTTGTCATGTGTGCAATGTATAATACCGTAGCTTAGGCACTGGTATATTTTAAAGTGCACAATGGCACAGTGCTATCCTGCGGTGTCAGAGATAGGAGAGCGGCACAATCCGAAGGGTGTTTCAAGTCCTGATGGCTTGGAGGAAGAAGCTGTTGCCCACGAGTGCTAAGAGGTGATGAGAGGGTTCAGTCATTGTCTCTCTACTTTGTCAGGAAGTGGAGGCGTTGCTGGGCTTTCTTGGTGAGAGCCATGGTGTTGCTGGACCAGTTGAGGTCATCTGCAATGTGCCCCCCCCCCACGGACTTTCTGCTGGTGTCTTGGTATTTCTCTTATTTGGTCCACGGCAACTATGTCGATGAGTGTAGGTTAAATAACTGGCAACTGTGTATAGCCTGTGTTTTATATATCTTTCTGTTTTTTCCCATCCTTATAATATCATCACTGTAGTCTGACTCTGCTGTGACTATAAAAAATAAATCCAAATTATTTTTAAAAAATTGAAATGTAACAGCTATTTCCATTTATTTACCATTTTGTACTTGACAGCATCCTGCTCCGGAATTTTCCAAGACGGAATTTCTCACTGATTTCCTTTTACTTTTTTGTTTTCTGTCTTGTTGTACAGTGCTGTTGTGTTTGAATGTAAAGACCGCAAGTGTAAGCACACTCACCTGTTAGCTTAGCACACAACAAGGCTCAGTATTGTTAGGTCACAGTACCAGCTCAAAGCATTACTGGCCTCTGGTGGTCTGTCTGTCTTTTTTTACCACTGTCTTCGCTCCAAAATCTCCAGTTGATAATTAGCTGGTTTGAGATCTCATGGCAGTGAGGCCAATTCACATCATTATAATACACATCTAACCACATTATATCTGTACATTGCATGACTCTCATAGTTTAACTAAAAATGTGAAGTTTATCCTGAGAGTTTCACAACAGAAAAGGCCAGTGAAATCAGTGAAACAGTTCATCCTCTGGGGAGCACTTGGCACTCTGCCATTCAGACTGACATATTTGGTTTACAAAGGCTGACATATTACAACCTGCCCATTTGATACTTCTCACTGCACTAAAGATCTGGAGAGTAACCAAACTCATTAGGATGCATTGCTGGGGACCATAAATATCCACAGAGCATTTCATGGCAGTTGATCCAAAAGTGTCAAGATCAGGCACTGAGTCAAATTCTTGCACTGACAGACCAGTTGAACTACAGACCTCACTGTCCTCAGGCTCTGCGGTGGAAAATCAAATCCCCTGAGGAGCAGGCTTCACAGGACCAGCTGGGAAATGTTGAATGTGGCGAATGGATGCGTAACACCTCCTCCTCATTCTACCGCTCCTCTTCAGCGCCCTTTGATCAAAACTGCTCAGCAGCCAACTGCTCGAGTAGAGCGGCACTGTGGCCAACAGTGGACGGCTGTGTTTGGACCTGGGCAGTGTCCATGAAGCCTGACTGATGTGAATATGAAGGAGTGTGTTGCTGAAAGGAGTGTGTTTCCTCGGTTGGCATTCTGTTGACTGAGGGAGCTTGAAAACAGAAGAAAAACTGTGTTTAGCTCGGCACCGGCAGATTGATTCAGTCCAACAGTGTGCTCTCACAGGAAACACGTCCTGGGTGGGAGCTTTAGCTCTGCTTCTTCTTGTGTGAAGTCTGTTTCTTGAAGCTACTTTAGTCATTCCAAACTAATGTAGCTCATTTGAAATGGAAAGTCTGAATTTGACATGTCTGTACGTTCAAGCAGAACTGTCACTGTCAGTCTAAACACTGTTCTCCGCCTTTCTCATACAGCAGGCAGGCAGGCAAAGGCTTCACAATACCGCACTGATACTACAACAGTGATTCAACTTTGTCATTTGCTGTTCTATTCATACAGGAGCAGAACATACAGTAACCTTCTCTCCTAGAAATTCCTAGAAATAGGCAGCAGAGTCATGCAGAGAAGCCAACACACACACAGACACACCTACGAGTTGATCGGTTGATTCAATTTTTGTCAGGAGAAAGGTCTGACATGGAGACAAAAGATGAGGGTGTGAAAAGGGGCTTTAGAGAGAGGTCATAGCTTTGGGTAAATGTTAATGAATATTAATAAACACATCAAGTCAGTACTTTCTACGTATCTCCAACCATAACCAAGTCATTTATGTGCCAGAGGACGGATAAACATGAAAATGTCAATCATGCATAGCCTACCTATAAACAGTTATTGTGGGAAAACAAAAAATATATATTGCCAGTGGACCTTCTGCAGATACGCTAATTTAAAACGCTTGGGCACTATGTGGATTAAAAACATACTTGGGGCATTGTTGAGTTTTTCTCAAAACATTATCACTATGACAACTGAGTTGTTTTTGAACAACTAATAATTACAGCAATACTGGTTCAAGTTCAATGTAACTGGGAAACATGAAGCCTAAACTTATGCAATGATCATCTGTTGTTAGTGTTTTTTTTCTCTCGCGCACTGATCTGTCATCAGGCTGGACTGGGCGGTGCCTAGGAGAGTCCTGCTCTGATGTGCGCTCCCCACGCTTCCTGAATCCGCCCTGTGTCGGCTGGCGTGGCTGTAGACCGACGTGACTGGCGTCTCCAGGTGTCTGCGTAATCCGGTTGCCCCGCGGTTGTACGGTAGGCTTTTGGTGTTCAGTTTCCTCTCACGGTTGCACGTCCATAGCAAGTTGTAGTGCCATTAAATCCGTCTCTGCTCCTTTGCATTGCAGCGTAGCTTACGCTTCCCCTGGCGGCCGAGTCGAAGTGTGCCGCACTGCACTGTGGGTTAACGCAGCTTTGTTTTGTTGAGGTAGACTGGCTGAACTTTATCTTTATTCTAGGCGGCTTTTGTCGGACTTGCAACTAAATTATTATATTTGTCTTGGTCTCCGGGTCGCTGTGTTTAGTGTCGCGGTCTGTGATTTTTTTTTTTAATTTGAGTGTCATTATTAGTAGTTTCCCCGTGGGCTTGGCAGGTATTTGTGGGCCGGGCCGAGCCGGGCCGAGCACTGTTGTGGCCCTCTCCATGTCCTCGGCCTCCAATCCCTGGCGCATCTGCTGTTCTGTCCCTGCTGGTCCTTCTGTCTCTGTTGCCCCTCTTACTACTGGACATTTTATTCTGTATATTAACTATAACTAAAGTTTGTTTTATTTCATTTAGTAGTTGATTCTGTTTTTTTTTTTTTGTGTGTGTGTGTGTTTTTTTTTTTTTTTTTGGGGGGGGGGGGGGTGTTTGGGGTGTTTTGCCTTGTACTGTGGCTGGTTGGTATCAGTGGTACCAGTGTGGGGTGGGGTCCATGCTCTTTTTTGTCTTTTTGTTCTTTTGTAGCTGATTGTTTTGAGGTTTAGTTCCAGTTTATTGCCAATTCTTAAGATGGCCTGTTTGCCCATCATTTAGCTACCTGTGTATTTTCTCTTTGCACTTAGTGTTGATTTCTTATTTATTATAAATTGTTTACCCTTAGATTTACCCTGATGCTTTAATTATTTTCTTTTTTCTGAGTGTGGGTGTGATTAGTGCCCTGAGCTTCAGTAACTGTTTGCTGTCTCTTTCGCAGGAGAGGACCTGTGGGGCCGATGGTGGTGTCCCGTCACTGATCCTTTACTGTACAGCACTTGGGTGTGATTTGGATGGTGTGTGGTATTCACGTGTGTTGTGTAGCATCAGGACCCTTCCTCCTCCATTAATTCCCTGAGCTGTGGTCCCCTCAGCTGCCCCCCACATTAAAGCACCTACAGCATCTTGTATATTGGTACTGTAGTTGACCAAAGTGATATCGATTACAGGGCTAACCATATTTTAAAAATTGATTCTTTGTCATTTTTAAACATGAATAAAAAGAGAATATATTTTTGGAATCACGTCTCTTATCTCGGTGTTTTTGAACCTGTGCCCTTTTGTGTTATTGTGTGAGCGGCTAAACCCGCCTCTAGTAATTTCCGGGGGGTGAAATTCCCCCAGGTGGTGTTGTTGACAATCTTTCACCCTCCACTGCTCTGCCACATCAGAACTCTGCAGCTATAGCGTGCCAGTGGATGGGATTCATACTTTCTTAATGCGAATTCTAACACAATAATTGTCAATTAGTATATTAGTTTGGTTTAAATGATGCTGTGTCCAGTTCTTCCCCAAACATGATTTAGATTTTTAAGACTGATGAAACAAAGTTACAGAGGTGAAGGGAACAACAGCTAGCCGGGGAGGGGGATTACACCGCAGGGATGACTGGGAAAACATCTAATATTGATTAATCTAGGTTTTTACTTGTGCTGGAAGGACATTTGTATTGATCTTTAACATTCAAGTGATCTGTTTTTGCATGCTGATCAGATGTCCTGCCCATCCATTCCCAACATCAGTATTTAAATTCAGCAAAGTTCTCCATTAGTGGGTCTGGGAGTATAGTGCAGCTTTAAAGTTAGTGCAGCATTGTCCCTGATTGTATGCATGCTGTTTGAGCTCCCCGAGTTTGTCTCCAGACTCCCCTCATTGAATCTTAAAGAACAGCTGGAGGTAATAAATAAAAGTTAGTGGGAGGACAGATCAATAAATAAAGTTTGGTAGTCCAATCCAAAGTATTTAGGCCTGCACTATACACACACATACACAGGTGAGTGTGTTTTTAAGCAAGCACTGTCATGAATAAAATATTAGATGCCCAGTAGCAAGGCATCTTTGAACAGAAAAATGACTGCTACCAGTTTGCTTCTCATTTTCTTAAAGATTACACTCAGGCAACATCAGAGCTCTGAGGATTTTATGAGATGTTTTTTTGAGAGTGTTTTTTTTTTTTTATAAAAGAGAAGTTTCCTTTTCCTCCCTTGATAACACTTTAAAGGATCCTGCCTTTTTTAAAAAAAAAAAAAAAAAAAAAAATTTGATTCCTACTTTCGGTGCAGCGGTTGGTTTCGGTTCATTTCAGAAGGCTGTGAAAATTATCTGACAAGATTTGAAAGCTGCTTGAGCTGAGTGATCACAGTATGACTTCATCATCCTCTCGACCAAACAGTGTGAAGAAGATAACAAAGTAATTTAACTTTTTACAGAAAAGTGAAGATGATGAAAATCGTAGCTGCACAGAATCTTTGTCAATACAAGGTCCAACTAACATGTTCTCGTGGCCTTCCTCAGTAGATTGAGTTGCTGACTTGTCATGGAGATGTTAGTTATCACGTGAACATATATGCTGTATATCAATTCTTTGCAGCCGTCGTAGATTGCGAAGGCCGAACAAAAATGAGACTGACTTACGGAGGAGTTTCATTTTTCGTTAGCAGTTTCCTTACATCACGTCACAAAGTGTGGCTCCTGTTGCCTAGCAACCTCGACAACATATAAAAACGTGGCGTTTTTAAGGCCCTTGGTTTTAACAGTTGTACCATTAGCTATTGAACTGCGCTGAAACTCACTTACATTTTAAAGTGTGGGTTTTCTGTTGGTGTTTGCTGCCATATTATTTTCATTACCAGCGAACAATAAATCTTGGGAAAGGTTTGGCCGCGAAGGATCCACTCCATTGGAGCCTTCGTTGCCCAGAAGAAGAAGGGGGCATTTCTCAGCCGCATTTAAAGGATCCTTTGAAATGGGGCAGCCTAGTCATGCTGCTGTGACACAGTCTTCAAATGCAGCCTCAGTAGGTTGTGGCCCCTGAATTGGGACACAGCTATAGTTGGTCAGTTGGCCTGATTTGATGTAAATACTTGCAACAATTCAAGTTATAGATAAGGCAGAAGGCACTGTTATTTTTGGATAAATGACATTTCATTTAATTGGGAAATGCAACAGCGAGGAGAAATAGTTGTGAGTAGGAGAAGGTTGCATATTATATGTAATTAAATTAAACTTTAACAGTGGCGTAAATGTCAGTTATATAAATATATCTGTTGGATGTGGAAGGATTTGGAAAATGGTGTTCAGTTGTGCTTCATGTTTAGTCTAATAGGGGAAAGCTGCATGGGCCATTCACACGGCACAGGAAAATGCAGAAGAGGAGGAAGTTTAGAGGAAGATAAATATAGGAAGGGAATGAGGAAAATGAGGGATGAAGGAGTGAAATGCATTTGATGCTTCAGTGAATGCTGTGATTTCATGGATGAGCTGATAGGATGAGAAAAATTTAGCTGTCCGTTTCAGAAAGTTAAAATGTTTTTGTACCTGATATTTATTCATGAAAATGTGTTTTAATTTGGAAGATTTAAAACTGTGAATTGAATTTAAAATGTTTCAGGCTCCACTGAGTTTGATAAAGTTAATATGCTGACCCTGTTTTGCATTGACATGAGAGTAAACATACCATGAAATAGGTCCAATGCAAATGTAGTAATTCACCAAGTTGCTGGATCATTATATAATCCAGCAGTTTTGAAAGGAGGATAAATTAAATGTCACTTATGTCAGACAGCATGAAGACAAACACAAACAACAATAGTTTATAGTGTTGTGTTGTTTTCTTGTAACATTTTGAAGAAATGTTTAAAGTCTGACATTTACACAGATTCCGTTTTTAATTAGAAAGCAATTTGTGAAAATATGAGATGTGTGAAGTGTTTATTTTCTGTTTTCATCAATATTGTGTTGTAAAAATTTTGTATTTTAATATTGTTATACAAAGATGTTCATAGATATAATCCTTACCATCAATTAAAATTACCAAGCCTAACTTAGAGCCAGTGTGGTAAATATCAGGCCTGCTGGGAGTGACTGGGCTGCCTAAAGGGACTGTGGCTTCATTTGTTGTTGTGTTGCTGTTGTTGTTGTTGTTGTTGTTGTTGTTGCTGTTGTTGTTGTTGCTGTTGTTGTTGTTGCTGTTGTTGTTGTTGCTGTTGTTGTTGTTGCTGTTGTTGTTGTTGCTGTTGTTGTTGTTGCTGTTGTTGTTGTTGCTGTTGTTGTTGTTGTTGTTGTTGTCTTATAAAAAAAAAAAAAGATGATTACCAAATAAGGCATGTGATCGTCCGAGGGTTCAGTGGCCCTGGTCATGTGATGTTTGTTTTCTAAAATGAAAGTGGTGTTTTGAAAATGAACTAAATTCAATTTTGGCGATGGAAAACAGGGAGATGTCATCTGAGGAGTCGTATTTATCTCTCTGAACACACAGTTAGTCATCCTAGTGCGCTCACACCTTCTGTATTGCTCCAGAAGGATTATACACACACACACACACACACACACACACAGTGCAATCATCTTTCAGTGCATGCCTTCAGCCAGAGCTGCCAGCTTACAGCAGCCGAGTCTTGTTTATGTCTTCAGGCGGTGAGGTTGCTCGGCGGACTCATTGCGCTGGAGGACCTGATGATACACGCAGACCTGCAGCTCAGCAGGGAGCCGCTTCATTGCACTCATTTATTTCTACTTTATAATATTACAGCAACAACCGCCTGCGGCAGTGTTGTGAAGAAGTGCAGGATGAATTAAGTGTATGAAACGTAGCTTACCTCATTCCAAACCCTCAAGTGTGGATTATAGCTTCTTGCTAAGACAAACTGTTTTTTTTTTTTTTTTTTTTGTATGTGTTTTTTTCATGGTGATGTAGCAGATTAATGTTTTTGTGACTGCTGGTATGCAACAGTTGGGAGAAGTTGGAGCCTGTTGGAGGAGTGTTGTTGGTAATTTTGGTATCATTTTCAAAAAACCCAACTGTTCACCAAGGCCTATGGCCTCTAGCTGCCTCTTCTCCTACAATCTCTGCCATCCCTATTCTGTCTCGTCTTGTTTTCATTTATTTGTTTTTTTTATTTATGTAAAGCGGCCTTGGGTACCTTGAAAGGCACTATAAAAATCCAGGTTATTATTATTATCAAAACTCTTGCAGCTTTGCACTGTCCACTGCCCACCTGCTTGGACAGGAGCAGGTCATCAGCACTTTAAAGGCCCCATATTGTATGAAGCTAGATGTCCATGTCTTTGTTTGATCATAAAGCAGGTCTAGGTTTTATATTAATACTGTGAAAGTATCAAAGAGCTCAGTCCACAGAGAAATGCATACAGCCTGTATTCACAAACCGATCCTTAAAACGAATTGCCAGGACTTCTTTAACTTTGTGATGTCAAAGCAATCACTGCTCTCAGCCATGCCCCAAACCCCGCCCACCTGGACCCACCATTCAACCTTGCAGGATTTGGTTGAGATGTAAAACTACATTGAGACGGTTTTGGTTCTTAAAACCACAAATATATCTTCTTATAGATCAACAATTTAAATGCAAGGAAAAACATCTTAATATATCTACCTCTTTCGAACTGGTCTGAAAAACAGTTGCACCAAAGCTGATATCTGGCCGCAATGTAAGGTGAAGTCTGAACTATGTGGGAAACATTTTATTTTGGAGGTGTGTCAGGAAACAACCGGTAGTTGTACTTACACACTGTACAAAGAGGGGGACTAGATGCAGTGCATAACTATGGTTCATTTATACTTCTGTGACCAGATTTGGCCAGCAGAGCTGTTGTGATGTAGTATAGTGTGCACACAGTGTTACTATAGTAATAGTATAGAATCCAAGCTCAGCTGAAGTTTTAATACACGACATTGAAAGAAACAGCTTTAAAATGCTGGTCCTGTTTGAGGAGAATAATATTTAACTTTATTGAAAGGAAGAAAGAAAATGAACATTAAGTCAGAATGCCCTGAGAACAAAGGAGATATATATGATACCAAGATAAATCCTTGGACACTTTAGATCAGCGGTCCCCAAACTTTTTTCAGTGGGGGCCACATCAACTTTCCTTTCTGAGATGGGGGGCCGAGGTTAGTCTATAACAGGAAATGATATGGGCCAGGGTGACAACCAATATTATTGTGGAGATTACAATGATAATTTGTTGTAGCTGCCCTTCGTTTGGCTTTGGCACCACCTGTTGATTTGCAAAAAAAAGTAATTGCTGGGTGCAATGCCTGTGCTGGGGGGGGGCGCCGGCGGGCCGCTGGGCCGCCGGGCGGCTAGCTCTGCTTGCTGGGCGCAATGCCTGTGCCGGGGGTGGGGGCACCGGCGGGCCGCCGGGCGGCTAGCTCTGCTTGCTGGGCGCAATGCCTGTGCCGGGGGGGGGGGCACCGGCGGGCCGCCGGGCGGCTAGCTCTGCTTGCTGGGCGCAATGCCTGTGCCGGGGGTGGGGCACCGGCGGGCCGCGGGCGGCTAGCTCTGCTTGCTGGGGCGCAATGCCTTGTGCCGGGGGGGGGGGGGGGCGCGGCGGGCCGCCATGGGTCATCTCTCATATGCTGAGGTGCACACACATTAAGACTAGTGTGAATGTCACACGGAAAAGTTTGTCCAAAGTCCACAAGTTTGGTGTCTACGGACTCGGCTCGTCACGCTGAGTAACATATGTCAGCCCCAGCCTTCTGAGTCGCTCCCTTCCGAAGGGCCGCCATGGGCAGTCTCTCATATGCTGCTGGGGGACACGGTTAAATTCTGTGTTTTAATAATTTCCAAAAAATTTTCTCGAATCCACAAATTTGGTGTCTACGGACTCGGCTCGTCACGCTGAGTAACATATGTCAGCCCCAGGCTTCTAAGTCGCTCCCTTCGGAAGGGATGCCTCGTTAAACGTCTCCGAGGCCCACTTGCTGCGACGAAAAAATTTTGTCAAAAGTCCACAAAATGGGTGTCTACGGACTCGGCTCGTCACGCTAGTAACATATGTCAGCCCCAGCCTTCTGAGTCGCTCCCTCCGAAAGGGCTGCCATAGGTCATCTCTCATATGCTGAGGTGCCACACCAGCGGTCCCCAAACTTTTTTCAGTGGGGGCCACATCAACTTTCCTTTCTGAGATGGGGGGCCGAGGTTAGTCTATAACAGGAAAATGATATGGGCCAGGGTGACAACCAGTATTATTGTGGAGATTACAATGATAATTTGTTGTAGCTGCTTTGGCACCACCTGTTGATTTGCAAAAAAAAAGTAATAAAAAAGTCTTCGTTTAAAAAAGTCTGTGTTTATTTGAAGTACCACAGATACTCCATTTATTTTATAGAAAATACAACACAAACTGATGGTAATGTTCAAGTAAGAATGAGGTGATGTGATTTTGTAACAGGTACAGTTGAGTTAACAAACGGTAAGTGTTCTGTCTTTTACAGGTAGTGAAATAATATTAATACAGAATAGTGGTCAGAATCAGGTAGAACATGTTGCCTATAAAAAAGAGCATTACTATAATGAACATTTTTTAATATCTATTGCTATTGGAATCAGTAAGGCTACCATATCAGTGTGAGCTGTGGGCTTGCTTTCTGACTGGTGAGGAGATCGATGTCAGGTTCCATTACAGTTACAGCCAGTCTCAGAGACTGATGCAGGTGTTGATTCTGTGAGACTTGATCTCGTCGGATTTTTTATCAGCTTCATGTGTGAAAAAGTTTGCTCACAGATATATGTGCTCCCAAAAACTGTGGACATCTTTGTTGCGTGCTTTCTTATGTTGGGGTAGGTCTCATTTGGGAGGGCAGCATAGTACTTGATCAGACTGTTGGGGCTGAAACGTCTTTCAGCACATCACAGGTCTGCAACTCAGCCAGCTCAAATTGAAGAGAAGGCAGGGTGTCGTTAATGTCGGCAGCAAAAGGGTTCTGGAATGTGCGGATTTCTTTAACGTGGACATGAAGCTCACGGAACCGCCACACCGAACTCCGCCCTCAGTGTTTCCAGTGCGTCCTTGCACTTCTCGGTTGGGAACGGGACCGCCGGTTTCTCAGCTGAGAGGCTTCGAGTAGCAGGGAGATGGGTGAAGTTTGTTTGCCACCTGTCCAATAAGCAGCGCTAGTTTTAAGCTCAAATACTTTGATGTGGGAATACATGTCAGATTAGTTTTCCCTTGCCTTGGAGCTGCTAGTTGAGGGCCGTTTAAAATTTTCTGACACATCTGTTAATAAAGGCGAGGTCCCATTTCCATTCTATGTCGATCAGCTCTGGGACAGTTTTTCCCTTTGTCAGGAGAAAGGCATTGATTTCGGGTAGCAGGTCGTAAAAACACTTCAAAACTCTGCCCGGCTTAACCAGCGGACTTCAGTGTTGTAAAGCACGTCTCCATGGGCTGATTCTAGCTCGGAGAGAAAGGCTTGGAACTGCCTGTGTTTAAGTCCGTTTGCTCTGATGAAGTTTATGCAGGACACAACCACCTTCATGACAGATTCCCACCTCAGAACTTTGCAGCTTGACGCTGGCTCGGTCACGATCAAAGTCACGTCAGAAAATACCATTGTGTGAGGAGGTGAAGATGAGCCACTATTAACTATAAATAGCTCATAACTATGGTCAATTTTAATTAGAATGCCAACCTTTAAGTACGGATATGTTATGATGTTATGATAGGAAAATGCAATTTAATAAAAATTGGTTGATGTTTAGAGGGATTGTCTGGGATCGTTAAGTGGGCCACTCCAATTGCTTTGGCGGGCCGGATGTGGCCCGCGGGCCGTAGTTTGGGGACCCCTGCTTTAGATACACAAACACAGACTTGCGTTTGTGCTCATGTGTACTCAAATCAGAATATTTGCGTTGACAACAGAGGACAGATTCCATCACAGCAATTGTCTTTTGAAAGTTACCTTGGGTCAGTTTCATTCTTCAGATTTGAAATAATACAAAACAAACACACTTCAGGTTTCTCTGAGATTGCAGAGAAATATTTTATTGAAGTCGTGACTTTTGTAACTTGTAATAACCTTCAGAAGCCTAATGGCTTCTACCTCCTCCTCTCCCCTCCTCCTCCTCCTCCTCCTCCTCCTCCTCCTGGGTCCTGAGGTGTGGAGCTACGAGGCTCCAGAGGATAAGGAGGATGTGTTTGCAAGAAAAGCCTGTCCTGCCTTTCTGACCTTCACCAACGCTGCCTACCTGGCTGGAGTTACTGTGGAGCTGCCCTGCCACTGCAAACCACAACAGGTATGTGTAACACAACCTGAGGAAAACTTTGAAATAAATTAATTTTGGGGATAAAATTCATCTGTCTACTCTTTTTTTCACATGTTTATCCCATCCCAATATAAAACCACTACGCAATGTATCTCTGTAAAACATAAGGGTTATGTGCTAGAAAACTACTCATCCTACTTGATTTGTATGATACCAGCTGTGTAAAAATATAATTGAACTGAGTAGACTCCAATTAGCTCCAGAAAATAGGATTTGAAGAAGAAATAAGTGATCTAAATGGATCTGGGTATAACAGGAGAGAGAAGAGAGAATGTCTAATGTGATTTGAGTCTCTGGTATTGATCTGCTGAACAACATTATTGATCACCAGCAGATTTATTTTGCTCATTTTGTTCCCTGCGTGTTTCAGGTCCAATCGGTTGTGTGGTTCTCTAGGAAACATCTGGGCAGCTCCGAAGAGACGAGAGCCCTGACTGATCACCATGGCAACAAGCTGCTGGACACCAGTCAGGTCCCTCACAGCAGCGACCTGCAGAGCCGATTTTCCATCCGTCTCTTCAGTCTGTTGATCTTCAGGGCGGGGCCCGAGGACTCCGGCATCTACATCTGCGGCTCTTCCCATAAAGACTTCTTCTATGGTTATGACCTGGACATCCAGGAGGCACGCGTGCGCCACTTCACCCCAAGGTGACGAGGAAGACTGGTGGTTAATGTCTGTGACTTTGTGGGAAATCACACATTACAACTGTTGATTTTTAACACTGGTGATGGTGATTGTGTTATTTTACTCATGACTACCATTAATTTGTCACTGTCAAAACATTATAGACACATCCCATCATAACTGGAGATATGTTCAACATTAATTTTATATGATTATACATATAACATACCATTGTGAAACACTTGGCTGTCAGTTGTGTGTTGTCAATCTAACCTGTGATGATCCACTGGTTTGATCGTCTTAGGTTCACACCAGAAAGAACCAACAAGAAACTGAAAGTCAGAAAAGGACTCGGCTCTGCTAAGCCGCTGTATCGGGTCTTCACCAGCTTCCGGCCCTGGTCGGTGTGTGATCGCTGTGGAGTACCAGGGGAACAGGTTCGTGTGGGACTCTGCTACGTCCACTCCAACTTCCTCCACATACGCTACAGATGGGCCAATCAGACAGTCGCTTCATGCGGCTCGGGGGCAGTGCCCAGGACTTTCCGCCTTCAGAAGCAAAGCAGAGTCTGGGTCAAGTTAGAGGTCAAAAACTGTCACGTGACGTGCCCAGCTCAAGCTCCTCCGTCCTCAAAGCTCCTTTCTCTAATGGCGTTTCTCGGATACAGGTATGCATGCAGATAAGTATATAGAGGTCTCTGAATTGTTTAGTTTGCAGTAGCAGTTAAACAAATAGAAATGTAATACATCTCTAACATAATGAATCTTTGTTGTAGTTCTGCCTCACTGCCAGTAGAGGTTCCAGTGTTTTACCTGAATCACCCAGCAGACCGTGTCCTGACCCTGGGCTGCCCCAGGGCACGACCTAACATGGCCGTGGCCTGGGATCGAGGATCTGAACCCATCTATCGATCTAAGCACTTGGCAGGTAGCAACATCAGCGCCACGCCCTCCAGGCTGCTGATAGACACCGGACACCACCTGGTGTTTAAACCTGCAAAAAGCCAGGACTCAGGTACCGAGTACCGTTTACTGAACTACACCTGTGTCTATCAGGTGCTCTGTAAATGATTTGTGTTACATTTTATTATACTGCTGGCCTTCAAATAGCATCAGCATAAGCATAAGTTACTCATAGCAATTTGTATGACTTTATTGGAGTGAACCTACACCACTCTGGCACACCATCATCATCTGATCCATTCACATGGTTGCACAGCTGTCACTCATCACCACTTTAGCTCCAGCACCTATATGGCCGCCACCTTACACTCATTCTGTGTTAAATCATCTATGTTATGTTGTAGTGTGTGCTGGCCCGAATTCCATTTCCTGTTTTGATTGCCTGTTGTCTCATGTCACACTGTTTCACATCTTTAAGCAACATTTCTTTATACTTACCCACAGAGGAGAGTGGCAGCTGCCATTTACTTTAGCTGTCTTCCAGTAGGCCCCAATCAGACAGCGTGCACCGAGCTGACTTTTTTGTTGAAGCCTATCTACTTGAAAAAAGGAAGAGCAGTGAGGTTGATTTTTAAAATCTTTGCTAGGCAACCACTGAATCACCTGTCCCTAGCCTAACCAAGATTTTATTGTGAAGTAAATTCACAATCTCCACGTTATTTAAATATATTGGTTACTCTGAGCACAGAGTATTATTTCAAATCATACAATAATGAAAACACGTACCTGAAACCTTCACTACATATAAAAAAGAACTGGAAAAATAATGTAGTATTGAAGTAATACAAAATCGAGCCTAAAATAAATGTCTTTACACATACAAATTACAAAAAATATTCATATTCCCCATGTGATGTCTCCTTGATGCTGTAATAACTGATATTTGTACACTGAGGGTCTCTGTTGCCTGATATGCTGTTACTTTGCCCTTCAATAATATTTTATATTTTTGACACTTTAGTATATATTTTTTATAACATGTCAAAAGAAGACAGCAATCATTAAAATGACTTGTATTCTTTTAAGCTATTTACTATACTATCACTTACTATACTATAATATCCATCATATTCAGGTGTCTACTACTGCTGGCTGCAGGGCCGCCGGGCCGCTGAGATACGTCTACTAGTCTACGTCCATTTGGGACGTGGCCAGTCAGTGACATCACATCCTGACTTCCAGACAGCTGTAAATACCGTGTTAAAATCATATGCTGCCATGACGGCTGTGTTCTGCCTGCTGATGTTTGGCAGAGCTGGAGTCAGACACCTCAGAGACACTGCACAAACACATGTGGATTAAACTGCTTTAAACATGCTAAGCTACAAATATGATCAGGTTGTTATCATTTGTTGTGAAGGGATCATACATGGACAACAATATCAGCTTTTCTAGTTTATATATTATGTTTAGACAACTAGCTACCTCTTGTTAGCACTTGTTTAACACTGACTTGAACTATGAGACAAGATGTGAACCTTGGGCCTCGTGGCATACTTATGCTGTGTGCACCCTTGCAACATGCATCCAAAAAAACAGCAACCCTCTGCATGCTTTTTTACTGAGATATGACACCACACTACTTCCTGTTTTTTCGAAGTAGTCTGGCATGTTGCCAGTGAGTTTAAGCCAGATGTTACTATGTTAATTCCCATACTAGCATGTGGAACATAATTTTATATATATGTAGTTTATAGGACAGATGTGTAGTCTGTAATATCTTTGAAGAAAGGAGGCTCTGAGTTCAAATCCTAGGGCTCAGAGCCTCTCTTCTGATTGGCTCATCGACCTGTTGTTCCCACAGCTTGTGAGAGAAGCCTGAGAGAGATGTAAAACTACACTGAGACGGTTTTTAGTTCTTAAAACCACAAATATATCTTCTTATGGATCAACACTTCAAATAAACACGGGAAACATGTAAAATATGGAACATTAAAAGCTCTTATACTCTATATACAGTACAGTATAGTTGATACAATAGCCTATTTTACCATGAGACCTTGCCTTTCCTGAGCAGCTCATGCTAGTTTGCGTTTACAGTATATCAGCATGATATTTGGGTTAGAATGATTTGTGTATTTTATTTACTGTATATGCTCTTTATGTTCTGTTTTCAATTAGTGTCTAATAAGGCAGCACAATATTGTCTCTTGTCTATGTTATATAAATTGCATATTTCTTAACATTAATGTTCCACATTTCATCGCTTTGTATGTCTTGTATTAAGTTCTTTTGTGTTGCATGTTTTAAATGGTAAATGTTTTTTTTTAAAAAACAATAACTAAATAAACAGTGAGGCTGTGGTAGCTGAGCTGAGGTAAAAATTATATTCTCTTCTCATTCAGTTAACAGCAGTGTTTTACTCTGGTGCTACGCTTAGGACAAACTTCATTTTTCCCCCATTACTGGTCTAATGAATAAAGGGGATTGGGGAATGAGATTTTTTTTTTTTTTTTTTTTTTAATCAATCCATTGATTTTTCTTTTTTTTTGTCTGTTGTGTAATAAACAGCACAACCTCATGGTACCAGATGGCAGGACTGCAGACTTTCCCCGTGACTTGCATCTAAAATAATTAGTTTTTGAAAAACAAAATATTTGGATCTGAGGTTAAGAAAAAATTGTTTATTTAAAAAGTGTTTTATCACATTAGAATCTGTGTTTTTTATATTTGTGTTTTGAATGTGCAGAAAAAAATTCAATTTTTTGCTTGTGTGTGGGGAAACTGTTAAGAGGTCTATTCCCACCTGATGCAGCCTCTACACCGGAGTGTGAAGTGCTCTCAGGTGTGCAGCTCCTCCTGGTAACAGCCAAGAGTGAAATAGACTCAGTGAAACAAAGAAAGTCAGTGAGAGAGAGAGCAGAAAGATAATGACACTCAGATGAAAGGAGAATAGTGAGAGACAAGAAACAAAACAAGTCGAGCTCGAGTGTAGATAAAAAATAAATGAGACGGGTGAGTTGATGAATGTGGAGGGAGATGATGGGGATTTCCAATCCAATTATTTCTCTGCAAATTAGATTGGCCCAGAAGACAGAAATACAGAATGTTATTAATATTTCCTGATTATCGAAAGTTTGCATTCAAGTATTTTTGTCAAAATACCTGTAATTTTTAAATGTATTAACCTTCTAAAATGTCTAATCTTCTCTTATTATTATCTTATTTATCATACACATATAAAAAGAAATACATCTTTTTTTTCTACTTTACCTCTGTGCAGTTCAACAGACAGCAGGCTTGATGAGTGTATAATGGATCTTCACACCTGGAGTGTTGTAGCATCTGCAGGTGTTGAAGTGCCTCTTATAAACACGGGCAGCTGATGAAGAGCAGCAAAGAGACAAACAGAGATATCTGGCTTCTTGCTGTCTGACTGAGGAGACATCTGACGCGTTCACATCAAGGCATCTCTCCAACCCTGAGGGCCAGAGGGATGAACATACAGATGCTTGTTCCTCCAGCTGTGGCCTCCTCTTCAGTCCCTCTCATCCCCTCCCACCTTCCCCTCACCTTCAGGAGCTCTCAGTCGACTCCATTTTTGACTTGCAGCCAGCAGACTGCACCTTCACTAACAGCCCTGGAATTCAAACTAAACACAACCACCTTTGATTCTCACATGCTGCTTTTATTCATTCAGGGAGAACCATCAAGCTCTGAGCATTTTACATTAAATGCAACTGTAGATCCATTTGTGGCATTAAAGGGTCTTTAAAGAAAAACTGACCTCAGCTGCTGCACTGCAACCCTGAACTTATTTCAGCATTACTTGGAGGAGCTGTAAGTGAGAACGCAAATTATCCTTCCAGCTCCTACAAAGTCCATGTATTATCTGATTCAGCTGTGAATAGATCTGGTCATTGTCTGGGGAATTCAGAGCAAGCGAGTGGGCGTATTGATGGCATCTCAGAGTAATTTCTATGCATTTGAGTTGTTAAACTGGTGTGTATGCACTGTAAAACTTGTTAATAGTCAGATATAAATGGCACACTGCAAAAGTGCAGACAGTTTATTTTAAGGTTGTTGGTAAATTGATGCCTTCCTCTCATCCAGATACTGACTTCTCCTGTTCCAAGTCTGGTAGGGACCAATTAATTATTTTCTTTGTCAATTTTTATTGTTTAATTTGAACGTTATTTTGTTGATGTGTTGGAATTTGTATTGGTAAACTTGAATTAAGGGGAACAGTTTTTTCTTTTCTTTTAGAAAGGACAAAAAAACCTTTAATCCAAATAAAGGAGTTAATAGAGATAAATTCCCATTTTGTGTAAGCCTGTGTTAAGTGTAGGTTCTTTGTGGGCTGGAGGTTTTATTACTCACTCACCTAAGGTCAGCAGCATAGATTCCCACACTCAGGGAAATATTACAGTATGCTATCTCCAACATCTTTTTAAACATTTTTTTTAAATATAAAAACTATTAAATTATGCATTAGAGTTCATTCTTCCAACTCAGAAACAGTAGTTTTGCTTAAAGATCCTAACCTCAAGATCCACTCTCAAGCTTTACGTGAACTTTCACCCCAGGACAGTCTTCATCTGCAGATGGAGTTTGCTCAGTTGCTATGGAGGAGCTTCTGTAGCTGCTATGATTTAATTCACAGCTTTAGGGACTTTTTGTTCATGTAAGAGATCAAGTGTCAACCATTCAACCATATCACTTAATAAACAACATTGTTTAATGTTATGTTCTAATGTGTTCTGTACAGGAAATAGCGTTAAAATAGGTTTTAAACCCTTAACAACATAAAAAGAATATTTTTTTGCATTGTATGATTCCAATTAAAATGTGAACTGATATACAAAATGAAGATTTTAACCCAGAGCAACAAAAAAAAAAATCAGACAAGACTGACAAATACCTCTGCATAATTCTGTTAACAGAATTTTAAGAGACAAAATTCAGTTCAACATGATTCTTTTCCCTTGTGACTGTTTGACCAAAGGTTAGTCATCAGTTTATAGTTAAATTACTCTTCCTCTGGGAACTCAGACATTGAATTTACTCAGATCTAATCTCGTTAGATTTTTATCTTGTTCTACATGTGAATGGGCCTTTGTTTTTAGAAAATGTGGATTGATACTTCTGTCAGATTTCTTCCTCTGTTAGCTCTTATTTTTATTCTTTGAGTTTCAAATTTGTTTTCCCCCCACAATCAATCCTGTCCCTTTTCTGGCATCTTTCCCCCCAACGATCCTCCACACCTCCTCTCCCCAGGACTGTGAATCATGCTGGTTTTCACTGTAGCTTCACAATCAATCAGGGACTGATTTACGACAGGGTTGGAAGAGGAACAGTTAACTGGCCGTGAGGAGAGACAGCCAACAGGAGTCCGGGCCTCAAGGTGCAAGTGGGAGAACCACTGCACTCAAAAGTGTGATGATGGTGGTGGTATCACAAAGCATGCACTGGGCCAGTTTGGGAAGGGTGGGGCTAAATGAGAAGTCATTAGAACCAAAAGGGTTTATCCTCCAGGGAGCTGCCTGGTAGATCAACAGATAACTTGTTGTGGTGTGGTGAAGAGGAAGCTAAACCTCTCTATTCAATTTACCAGTCAATATGTGTTCCAACCAAGCGGCAACCTCCAGGGTTGAAACATGAAACCAACAAAGAAGTGCCAAAAAGTGCAATTCCTCTTGTGGCCACTTCAGGCTGGCTCCAAAAAGGAGTCAATCCCTATAGACTCTAATGTTAAAACATCCAACTTAACATACAAAAGACGGTTTTGGTCTATAGCTAATGTCCTCCTTCATGACAAATGAATGTGGGGTGAAATTTTATATAACTCACCTGTTTAAATTTTGTTAAGACTAAAAAGTTATACATAATTGAGGATGTGGCCACTTTGACTGACAGCTGGTTGAGCGTACACTTGCCTCAAACCAGCATGCACCGAAGTCTCGGCTCCACACATGCTCCACCTCTTTGCCCATTTTTGGATTAGCCGTAAGTTTGGCGGAGTCAGGCACTGCCAAGATGGAGACGGCAGAGCAGCCCACTCTGAGATTCAAACCTATGGGTGACTGTTGTTCCAAGCTTCACTTATGAACACTGGGTGGTGATCAAAACAAAGTAACGAACCACAGTAGAGCCACAGCCCTGTCGCACTGAATGGAGCCAGTTGAAGCAGTTCACATGATCAGCATGTGGAAGGAGGACTGGAAGGAGACCCAGCGGCAGATCTATAATATGTTGGAGGATGATAAATCTGGGCTTGGAAGACCTCAGGAGTAGGAAGGGAGCTTCAAAGTTGTCTTTATCTGTTTGACTTATCCACTGTTGAAGACATGAAGCAAAAAGACATCACCAGCACAGGTTCTGGATTTTTGCCCGTCTTTACTGTACTTCAGATGTCATTTCAACCAC